TATATTTAAAGTGCCTATGTTTAAAAAATTAAAATGCTTTAAAACATTTTCTGGATGGCCTTACAAATGGAAACAAAGTATTCCTAGCCAACCCTCTGTCAGCAGAAAGGCCACACAGAAAAAAAGCAAATCAACATTCTTTACCCCTCATAAATTATTATTCACCATGGGAAAATGATTACTTGCCAGGAAGTAGAGCCTATGAATCATTATACTGTTGTCCTTGACCTCTGATAGAGCAAGAATTAGGGGAAAGACTGAAAACCTGGGGTGTGAACTCTAACTTGCCAATAGTTTCCACTCATGGCATCATAAGGCAGTGAAAACAGAAAGCTGATTGAGCCATAGGGCTGTCAAGTCCTGATGCTGCTGCTCCGCGCGTCTGAGCCCAGAGCCAAATAACATGGGCCCCTGACTTTCTGAGTTACTCCTTGGGTATGAGTCTTTACAGCGCCAAAGAGTCATTGATCAGCAAATGCAAATAATGCCACCCCTGGGCTTGTCCTGACAGTCAACCTGTTTGTTAATGCCTGTGTAAGAGATATCCAGTTTGGAAATAACAGCAAAAGTCACAAGGAAGGGGTTAAATTGCCTAACATCAGGGTTCATTTCCTAAATTAAAAACACACGGAAGATAGACACTACAAAAATGTATTCCCTTGTGGTATCAGCAAATCTTGTGCTATCTCTTTTCTGTTGTTAATAAGCTATGGATTACAACTGTAAATTCTTTTCTTTTTTTTTTTTTTTTTAAGACAGGGTCTTGCTCTGCTATCCAGGCTAGAATGCAGTGGTGCAATAATGTCTCACTGCAGCCTCAGCCTTTCAGGATCAAACAATCCTCCCACCTTGGCCTCCCAAATAGGTAGGCTAAGCCAGGTATAGTGGTTCACGCCTATAATCCCAGCAATTTGAGAGGCTGAGATGGGAGGATTGCTTGAAGCCAGGAGTTCAAGACCAAATAGCTACGACTACAGGCACAAGCTGCCATGCCCAGCTAATTTTTTAAGTTATTTGTAAAGTCATGATCTTGCTATGTTACCAGGCTGGTCTCAAACTCCTGGGCTTAAGCGGTCCTTCCACCTCTGCCTCCCAAAGTGCTGGTATTATAGGCATGGGAGCCACCTGTAGGTGGGTGGGGAGCTACCATGCCCAGCTTGCAAATACTTTTTATATTATATTTTTCTACATGGCCTTTGATGTCTTTAGAAAATGTTGGCTTTAAGCAAGAATCTTTTGTGATCAAAAGCATATAAAAATATGACATTTAATATATTATACACCAAATATACAAAATCCTAGAAGCTTATAGGAGATAGAAAAGTTAATTTTATAACTAATCTGAATATTGTTCTCTACTTGCCTTAATGTTTTTAAAGGTAGTGAAAATAAAACTACATTGTTCTGACAACGTAGAAGGAAGAATGTTTAAAAGTCCTTTTAGTTCTGGGAGTAGACATGAGAACCTGTCTTTATGATAATGCATACATTAGAGGGAAGAGGATATGATAGCCAAAGTGTTACCTAATCAGTAGATTCTCACTCATTTGATCCCACCTTCTTACTAGTTAAAAAAAAAAAAAATGAGTATGGGCCAGGCACGGTGGCTCAAGCCTGTAATCCCAGCACTTTGGGAGGCTGAGGCAGGCGGATCACAAGGTCAAGAGATCGAGACCATCCTGGTCAACATGGTGAAACCCCGTCTCTACTAAAAATACAAAAAATTAGCTGGGCATGGTGGCGTGTGCCTGTAATCCCAGTTACTCAGGAGGCTGAGGCAGGAGAATTGCTTGAACCCAGGAGGCGGAGGTTGCGGTGAGCCAAGATCGCGCCATTGCACTCCAGCCTGGGTAACAAGAGCAAAACTCCATCTCAAAAAAAAAAAAAAAAAAAAAAAAAAAAAAAAAAATTGAGTATGTATCACTATCATATATCCACATTTTTATTTATGAATTACATTACATAACTGTTATTAATACATTGTGAATAATATGTCGTTCACAAAGGTACATCTTTTTAAAATATGATATTTTATTAATAATAATATATTTATATATTTTTGTTATTTCCTTTTTCTGTACCTTAATAGGTTAAGTGCACCCCACTTTGGGACCACTGACCTTTTAGTTTGCTTGTCATGATAGAAGTCATCTAAAAGGAACTCGAAAGTTTGAGTCTCTAAATAATCTCGTTATAATCCAAAATAGCCTGTTAGTTTCAAGATTGATCTTCAGGCAACTAAACTAAGCACTCATAAGAAGTCAAAATGTAAAAGAGTTCGGGCCACTGTTTGGTTAGCTTACAAAGAGTTACTTCTATTTCCATAAATTTTTTTGGATCACTGCCCATTGACTTTGATGGGACAGCTAAATATCATCTCCTCAGTAATGTCATTTTCCCTCAAGTGTCTTTAATACAGAGCTATTTCTCTAGAAGAGAACAAGATTATGTAAAGGGAAGAGAACATGTCTTCCTCCAAGATAGTTATGCAATTTGGGGAAGATTCTAAGGAATACAGACAAGGCTGAACAGAGAGGATGGTTCTTTTACTTGGATGTGGTGGTAACTCGCGTTTCTAGATAAACTTGAGTACTGTTGCTCAGTACTGGTACTGTTGGAAGAACATATAAAACATCTGGCACAATCAGTGAAGGAAATATGGGCCTAGGTCCAGGTGTTAGATGGGTACAGCAAAGCACTAAACCTCTCACACTCACTCTCTAACTACATGCCCCCAATCACAAAATTCCCCTACTGAAAGGGCAAATACTCCTGCCTCAATTCACTTCCCATTTAAAAGTGTATTTGCTTACTTTTCTAAAGACTCCTAGTGGGTTTGGAGAAACTCACTAAACCACTGTTAACACGTAGTGTGACCTTCAGGAAGAGGCCTCATGGACTAAAAAAAGTACAAGGGGATCTGAAATGTTGGTGATGGGGTTGTGGCAGAGAAAGGACAATGAAAGGGAGAAGGCTGTTTGGAAGGCCTGTTGGTTTCTAAGGGGGTAATACTGGGGTGGGGGAAGTGGCGAATAAATTCTCTGACAGGCAAGCAACATCATTTACACTTTTGCTTAGAAATCATCCTAATGACAGCCCGAAATTTTGGTTCTGTGTTGGGGTTAGTTCTACAATCACTGAAATGAGGAAGTGAGCTCAACAATTTTGTAAACCTCACAGTTGACAAGAAGTTATGAAAATTCCCAGTGGGGTTACATTAGACTCTACCACTTAAGGAAAAGCAGGGAGATTCCATTGATGAGTCATACCTAAGGGACAAGGGAGGCTATAAAAGCTTTCCTCAGACAAAATGAGTCTTTACAAAATTGGAAAGAATCACATGAAGTTAACAAGTTTGGAAGATATGGGTGTATTTCCCATAGAACATGAGCATCAACACTACATGAGAAATTCTTGGAAACAAAGATTGATGCAAGAAGAATGCCTGGTTAAAAGCAAAAAAAGCAAGAGCAAAGATGCTGGTTCTGAGGCCGGCGGGAATGTTAGGGGAGGATCTTGGGACAGTCAGCTGGGACCAAGGAAGAGCCAACCATACCTGGGTGGGTTTGAGGAATCCTAAGACAGGTCCAAAGTCAGAGAGAAGAGGTGACCAGGGAGCCTGAGGACAGGGCCAGGCACTGTAATACCAAATTCCTTACGGAATCAGCAGGGTAGGCAATGTCTCCAGGGCAGGAGAGATGACCTTGCCAGAGGTGTTTTGATGGTAAAGGCTGAAGGAGACAGAGATTAACTTTACCAAAAAGAAGTAAATTGATGAGAGATGACTAACCTAGATGAAAATTTCTTGTAAAGCTTTTTCTTATTGAACACACCTACTATAAAGGTTTTGGCATCAAATTTTATATGATACAAAAATTGTAACAGCACTGAAGTGACTAATAAATGTGTGGTGTCAAATCTAATGTGAGCATAAATAACTTTGAACATTGTAGATGATAATTTGGAAGATTCTAATTGCATCTTGACAACAAAACATAAACATTAGAGTCTACATGATGTCAAAACATCTGAATGGAAAAAGAAAAACACAAGCTTTTTTTTCTGCAAACATTGTATATTTTGGAAGACTAAATATATATTTGATAAAACCACAGTATATAAAGCCAAGGCACTCTATGATCTGCCTGGATGTAATTATTTTCCATGGTTTTGTGTAATCATGGTAAAATAGTACTAATTCAATAGCTAATAACTAACTCTAATAATAATTAACATGTAACAGTGGCTGAGTTTCCAAATAACTATATGATGTATGTATTTTTAGTGCCTGTATTTTATATGTGAGTCTTTTACAAATAAAGTAATTTGGCCAGGTGCGGAGGCTCACGCCTGTAATCCCAGCACTTTGGGAGGTTGAGGCTGGGATTGTTGGTGATGGGGTTGTGGCAGGGAAAGGAAAATGAAAAGGAGAAACCTGTTTGGAAGGCCAATTGATTTCTAAGGGGGCAATACTGAGGTGGGGGTTGGGCAGGCTGGTTTCAATCTCCCGACCTCAGGGTGGATCTCACCTGAGGTTGGTAGTTTGAGACCAGCCTGACCAACATGGAGAAACTCTGTCTCTACTAAAAATACAAAATTAGCTGGGCGTGATGGCACAGGCCTGCAATCTGCAGCTACTCGGAAGGCTGAAGCGGGAGAATCGCTTAAACCCAGGAGGCGGAGGTTGCAGTCAGCCAAGATCACACCATTGCACTCCAGCCTGGGCAAAAGAACAAAACTCCATCTCTAAAATAAGTAAATAATTTGCTCAGTCACACAAAGGCAGAGGCAGAAATCAGAACTATATTTATCAGTTTCCAGAATCCTAGCTCATCTTCTGGCCATTTACATCGTTTTAATTGGTTTTAAACACTTTTTTCTTTTACATTAGAAATAATTTCTGTAATAATGTTTTATCTTATTGCATCCTGTTTTATTACAGTGAAAGGATCTTCTTACTTATTATCTCCCCAGCGACAATGGAATTCTTCCACAGCTTACATGAGGTCATCAACATCTGGTCACATCTGAAAAACAGAAGGAGCTCAACTAATGTTTATTAAACTAAACTAGATCTAACACAGATACAAAATTAACAGTTCTGGCTGGGGACAGTGGCTCACACCTATAATCCCAGCACTTAGGGAGGTCAATGTGGGAAGATCACTTGAAGCTAGGAGTTTGACACCAGCCTGGAAAACACAGAAAGATAACAAGACTCTGTCTCTACAAAACAGTTTAAAAATTAGCCAGGTGTGATGGTGCATACCTGTAGTCCCAGCTACATGGGAGGCTGAGATGGGAAGATAGCTTAAGCCCAGGAGTTCAAGGCTGCAGTGAGCTATGATCACCCCACTACACTCCAGCCTGGGCAACACAGCAAGACCCTGTCTCAAAAACTAAATAAATAAAAATAAAAGAGTTTTGGTAAAGTTCAGAAAGCAAGTCAGATCATTTGCATCTTAATTAATGGTACATTAGCTTCCAGGCTTAAGCAAACAAGTTTCATCTACAAGTTTGATTTCACTGGTTCTTTCAATATTAACATAGCTTTGATGCAGTTTTACTGCTCTACTTGTAGGTAGTTCAGCTTATTCAATATAATTTTCCTTTATATTTTCCCTATTGTTGATTACCTGCCAGCTTTTCTACACTTCTTTCTCACTCCCCACCTTGTCATTGCCTCTAGATAAATCTATTTAGTAATTTGTTAGATTAAAAATTAAAAAAACACAGGAAAAAAAACTTACATGAACTTTGGACATAGACTTTTTACTTTTTTCCTCCTTGCTTCCTTCCCTTTCTTCTTTCTTTCTTTCTTTCTTCCTTCTCTTTCATTCTTTCTTTTTTTGGGTTTTTTTTTTTTTTTTTTTTTTGAGACAGAGTCTTACTCTGTCACCCAGGCTGGAGTGCAATGGCACAATCTCAGCTCACTGTAACCTCCGCCTCCCAGGTTTAAGTGATCCTCCTGCCTCAGTCTGCTGAGTAGCTGGGATTACAGGTGCCCTCTACCACAACCAGCTAATTTTTGTATTTTTAGTAGAGACGAGGTTTCATCATGTTGGCCAGGCTGGTCTCGAACTCCTGGCCTCAAGCGTTCTGCCCAACTTGGCCTCCCAAAGTGCTGAAATTACAAGCATAAGCCACCACACCCAGTCCAAGACTGGGTGCCTAGGCCCAGGATGGTCTTAAACTCCTTGGACCAAGGGATCCTCAAGCCTCTACCTCCAGAATAGCTGGGATTACAGGTGCACTATTGCACCCAGCTTTAGACTTCTTAGTTTTATTTCCCAAATTACCGTAAAAGCAGCTTAGAATTATTTTTTCCTCTTCTGGCCCCTGATTTTTGAGTGCCGAAATATTCAAAAGTTTATTAAGTCTATTTAATATTCACTTATTCAGAGTCTGTCCCTAGGCAGAGCTACTAATAAAAACACAAAAGACAACTGTTGGCAATTATTTTTATACCATAATCAAAAAGATTTCCTGATGGTGGAGAGAGCTTCCATGGCCACCTCCCTGTAGCACCAGGCTGGAGTAGTCAATGCAGGCTAACCCAGGTACAAAAGCTATATTTAAACACTCTCAATGCCCATAAGGAGCACGGGCTCACAAGCAGAGTCCATGGCTATCCATCAATGTGCATCTCTAGATGCATCCCTTCTATTTGCTTTCCTACAGGATAAACACATTTTTTGAACTTGTACTGATCAATTTCAGCTGCACAGAAATAAAGACAGAAATGTAACAAGCTCCACCTCTTCTCCCCCCAAGTCATTAATCCGATGTCAGTTCTGATATGTGCTCCTCTAAAGGGACACACTTTAGTCCTAATTTCCAGAACCCACCAGGTCAAAATGTTCTATGCCATTTTAAACTTCCTTCTACCTTCCCCAAAGAGTCAGCAACTAAGTAATTCTTAAGAAAGAAGAAAGAAATAAGAGGACTAGGAGATTGTATATTAAAAAATTAACACTCCAAAGCCAAAATAAACATGAGCTCAAGTTCTGCTTCTTAAACAGATTATCCTAGCTACATTTCCTCTAGAAGCTTTGTTTTCCTGATCTCTAAAATGAGGACAGAATATATACTCTCCTCATCAGGTGGCATGGGGATTAAATGATATTATACATATACCTACTATATACTCATACACATATATATCGTTATATATATGTTTGTATATGATATATATAGCATACACTCATATACACACACAGTGTATAGCATGAGACTCAGTAAATGGAAGCCATTGCTTATTAGTCAAAGCGTTGCATTAGTACTTATTAAGTCCTAGGCAAAGTATAGGAATCAAAAGAGGTCCAATCTTATTCCTTTCTTCAAAGAGCTTAGGATATTATTTAAAAGTTAGAATAAAATTTTTGACATATAATACATAATTAAGACATAAATTGTGTAATTTTTACTACATATATTGTAATTCAAAAAAATAAAGTAATACAAAAAGATGGGTTGAATTTTTTTAATGGTAAAAAATGTTTAATACTGGATGTGGTGGCTCATGCCTGTAATCCCAGCATTTTGGGAGGCCACGGCAGGCAGATCACCCAAAGTCAGGAGTTCAAGACCACTCTGGCCAACATGGCGAAACCCTGTGTCTACTAAAAATACAAAAATTAGCTGGGTGTGTTGGTGCATACCTGTAATCTCAGCTACTTGGTAGGCTGTGGCATGAGAATCACTTGAATCACAGAGATTGCAGTGAGTCGAGATTGCACCACTGTACTCCAGCCTGGGCAACAGAGCGAAGCTTCATGTAAGGAAAAAAAAAAAAAAAAAAAAAAAGTTTAAATGTATATGTAATGTTATTCTTTAAACACTAAAATAGGAACCAAATTTAAATAATACAAGATAATTGTCTATTTTATTCCACAGCATGGTCTAAGTTAGGACACAAGTAGAGTGCATACTCAATTACTAAGCGTTTAACATGGCATTTTCTTCTCCTTATGTTTCATCAATATCTAAACAACCTTAAAAGACTATTAAAAATAAGCTTTGCACAGTGGCAGTATCATTGCCAATGAGGTTTATCCAAGGCACAATTATTGCTAATTGAAAACTTTTCCCAATACCCTGCCGTGACGACTTGCAATACAGTCAGCGCTGGCAATTTTTGACAGTCTCTAGGAAGACTGATTAAAAAAAAAAAAAAAGACTATTAAAAATACTTTTCCGGCCGGGTGCGGTGGCTCAAGCCTGTAATCCCAGCACTTTGGGAGGCCGAGGCGGGTGGATCACGAGGTCAAGAGATCGAGACCATCCTGGTCAATATGGTGAAACCCCGTCTCTACTAAAAACACAAAAAACTAGCTGGGCGTCGTGGCGCGTGCCTGTAATCCCAGCTACTCAGGAGGCTGAGGCAGGAGAATTGCCTGAACCCAGGAGGCGGAGGTTGCGGTGAGCCGAGATCGCGCCATTGCACTCCAGCCTGGGTAACAAGAGCGAAACTCCATCTCAAAAAAAAAAAAAAAAAAAAAAATACTTTTCCAACTGTTAGTAGGGACGTAAGTATCAAAATATTACCTCTAATATAAATGTATTGTACAGAATTTATATTTTATAAATTTATCTTAAGAATTCAGGACTTTGTAGGCAATGATCTCATTTCTTCTCACATGAATGAATTATATTTTTTAAAAACTCAAGATCAAGAGAGTCTTGATAAAATGGCTAATCATAAAAAGCAAAAGCAAATGAAACTGAGGGCACTCAATAGATTTGTTCTAGTGAGTAAACAATAGCCATCCAGTTGATATTGATAGCCTAGATTGACTGGGAGATCTGTTAGATTCTAGGGTAATCAAATTTGGCTGCTCAAAAAGTTATTTTCTTTAGGTTATTTGCTCATCTATTCAATTCCCTAATATGTGCCAGGTATTGTGTTGTACTGCAATATAGGAAGTGTTTTAATGGACAAATGTACAAATTGCTTTGGAAGCACATCCACACAGAAGAGGAAATGCCAAATTGTAGAATAGTTAGGAAGGTTTTCATTGAAGGAAATATTCAGGCTGAATATTTGACAAGCAGCAACCCTGAGAAGTAGATCCCAGTAGAAGTCTCTGAGGTGTCTGCCTGGTTTCCTACCTGAGCAACCAGCACTTGAGGCCTTAGCCAGATAAATGTGAGCCAAAATACCTTGCGGCTTCCTTGGAAATGCAGCTCAGCAACCATTTCCGGGGACAAAAGGCCATGGTAGTAGGCACCTGGCTGTTATCACGCTTGATAGGCCTATGTCATTCTTTCATTTTTAAGGACCTTAATACTTCTTCCATCTCTGACTATATTCCCGACACTTAAAATTAACTGGGTTAGTAAGTAAGGACCAGCGGGAACAAGAGAAGGGAAAGTGGTCTTATGGGCAACATATTCATTCAGTCCTTGGGAGTTTTCAGTGAGCAAGTTGGATATATTTTCAATGTTTTTCTCAAATTTTTAGAAAAATTAACTATTAAAGTATTTTTTTAATAAAAAGATATTTATGGGCTGGGCACAGTGGCTCACATCTGTAATTGTAGTGCTTTGGGAGGTCAATGCAGAGGATCACTTGAGGTCATGAGTTCAAGACTAGTCTGAGTAACATAACAAGAACGCAACTCTACAAAAACTAAAAATAAAAATTATCTGGGCATGGTGACATGCACCTGAGTTCTAACTACTCAGGAGGCTGAGGTGGGGGGATCCCTTGAATCCAGGAGCTGGAGGTTGCAGTGAGCTGTGATCACACCACTGCAGAATTCCAGCCTGGGCAACAAAGTGAGACCCCCATCTCTAAAAAAAAAATTAAAAATAAATAAATACTATTTATGGTGTTTTAATTGGAAAGAATATCTTTGAAAAAAATAAAAACTAAGTAGCATATAGAGCTGATAAAAAGAGAATTACAGTACCTATATGCATACATAGCATTATTAAAATATATATAATATAAACATGTATCATATACAAATCTTCTAAATAAGACTCTATCTCAAGATTTCATTCATTAACTCAAAACACATTG